TATCTTGGATGGAATTAATCTACAACATTGGGTACTTGAGGGGATTAAATTTCTTAAGGAAACACAGTGGGTTCTGTGGACTCGAATTATTATTTTTGTCTGTTTCATCTATTTTTCTGTTTCTGTTTTGCTAACCTTAATACAAGAGATAACATACCCTTCGTTATACTTTTGGGCTAAAAATATGCCCCTCATGTTATACTTTTGGGCCAAATATACCCTTTATTCATTAAATATGTGGGTCCCAACCTTAGAATAAACATGTGAAAGATTGTGATTAATTTTAAAAACTCAGATCATTTTTATATGGTTAATACCCAAAATACGTAATTACATAAAGAGTTTGATATTAATTAGAATGGCCCAAATAATTTATGTCCCTGCCAACAACAAAAATAACACATATCCCAACCCCAACAAAGCTTCAAATCTCAACAATGGACTAATGTAAAAGTTATGGGAAAATTTTCAAAATAGCAATATTTTAGCTTTTAATGGGACTCCTTAGCAATAGTTTCACTATTTATTTAAAATGTCAATATTTTAATTTGTTAAGGATTGAGTTATATATTTATTTTATTTTGATTAATTTGAAAGAATACAAAGAATTAATAACTGAATAGCGAAAATCATAGATCAAAAAATTTCAAAAAAGGTAATTTTTTAAAAAAAATTAACATCAGTTACGTTTTTTAAAGAGCATATGTTGCCATTTTTCTTTCTAGCGTTTTTTTCTTTGTTCTTAAGAATTTCAAAAAAAAATTTGAAAACAGTAGTTTGTATTTTATATCTTATATGAGTGGAAGTGTTGGAAAATTTCTAATGCCCTCTGTTTTGGATATTTAAATGTTTGAACTTCTTTGAATATGTGTTCATCCGAAATGTATTCGAATACCTAATGATATGTATAACTAATTTAAAATACAAAAAATGTTGGTATTGATTTATGATGAATACAACTCTTTGGCATTCTAGTTCAAGTACAAAAATAAAGGCAATTGTGTAGTATATACCAAAATATAAGTACAAATTAGTTGTAGATCGAAACGATATTGAAAAATACAGTTGCGATGAATACATATATATACATAGAATAAGTTTATTCAAAATAAATTGTATTTATATTTCAATATCCAATTTTGTTATATTATTATTTCACTTTAAATTTGCAAAAAGTATTTTCTAGCATAGTTTTTATTTGAAATATCAGGTTGTATTTCAATATCATTTTGTATATCAAACGCAGAATGAATACCAATAATTTTGTATTCCCCTTCTTGTGATGTATTCGTCGCACAATTTTATATATTATGTATTCATAAAATGATATTGTTTTAGCCAAATAAAATACAAAATATGTCTTACTAAGTTTGTATTTCAAATATCAGGTTGTATTTCAATATGATTTTGTATTTCAAACGAAAAAATGAATACCAATAAGTTTCCATTTCCCTTCTTATAATGTATTCGTCACAATTCTATAAATTATGTATTCAATCATAATATATAGAATTGTGACGAATACATTATATACCTATTTAAATTACTACAAACTAAAATAGAAATACAATATTTTAAAATAAAAATGCAAATGATGAGTAAAAGAAAAACAATTGACAAACAAAAATTAATATGAATACAATTTTGTAACCTTCTTATTTGACTTTGTCTTTCTTCTTCTTCTTCATCTACTATGTTCTTTTTTCCGATTATTTTCCATCTAAATCGAATCTGAATCTGTATTCACTTGTGCATTAGTAACCCTATAAGCAAAATTCGAAATTATTAAATATGAATGTATAAAAAAATCAAACAATGTATGATGTATGTGTGCTAATGTAGTTACTACAATCTACTAAATCTCAAATATAAAAACAAAATTTTTGATAATTTGAATTTCAAAATTATCAAAAATTAGAATGTATTAAATATCAAACAAAATAAACATACATATGAAGTTCTAGATTCTCCAAAATCTGAAAAATTAAAAGAAAATCACAAAAAAAATTGAAAAAATTGAAAATCATAACTATTTGATGAATAACTAAACAAAATCACATAAAAATTGAAAAATTCGACTGGAAATCCATAATATATAGAATCAGTGATTTAAACATCAAATCAAAGTAAATCAAAATGGATAATGGAAATTACCTTGCCAATCGAGAAATCTGCTTGAATTAATAAATAGATTTCATTTAACAATAAAGAAGATTTCTTGATGAACAACAATTTAGCACATTGAAGAAAGATAAACTTGAAACGTGAAAGGTGGGGAAGAAACGAGAAAAGTGGGAAAGAAACGTGAATGGAGTTGAAAAAAAGTTAATGTGTATTGGTTTAATTTTTTCCTTTAAAGGGTTATTAATATATAATTTGATCCAATATAGGACTCTTTCCATAAATAAAATTAATTTTAAATACTAAAATCTAAATACATATTATTTTATAAAAATATTGTCATTCTGCCATTTTAAATGAATATTTTAAAGTGTTGTTATTTTAACTAATTATGTTAGATATTATGACTTAATTGCTAATTTTCCCAAAAGTTATTTTCTTCAAATCAGTTTTGATCACTTCAATAGCAATAATTTTCAATACTCAGTTGATTTATAACAACAAAAAATTCAACAACTTTGTTTTCAACTTCTCCACCTAATATGCATTCTAAATTTAGCACATCAATTCAAATCAATGGAGTTTCAAGCACCACCTTAATTGAAATTTCAAAAACTTCACCATTGAACTTAGATGAAAAACTCAACAAGAACAGTATAGCACGCAAATTTTTTTTAATGTTCTGTATTTTAGAGAGAAAATGGGAACATCAGTTATAAAATGAGTTTTCATATATCAGTTGAAGCTAATCAGTTGACAATTTTTTTTTGACAAACAAATTCATTTTGATTTTGTGACTTATAGATGAATTTAGCAAGAAAGTATATTAGTGAGCTATTTTGGATATTAACCGGATAAAAATGATATGATTTTTTAAACTTGATCTCAACCTTTCTCATGTTTATTCTAGGAATAGGACCCACATATTTAACGGATAAAGGGTATATTTGGCCCAAAGTATAACGAGAGGGGTATATTTGGCCCAAAAGTATAACGAAGGATATATTTAAACTATTTCCTATAGTACATGGGTATATTTAACCCTTTTTCGTTTAAAATTTATGGTCTAAAATGAATGATAGAAATTTGTATGACTATAAATTATTTCATTAAAGATAAAATGAACATTTTAAAGTTAAATCACTATTTAATATAGAAATGTGTCATTTTTTTTAAAATTGATTAAAAAGAAAAGTAAATCATATAAATTGTTTAGCGCTTCTTTATTTCTTTTGATTTTTGCTTCAGTTTTGATTTTTGTGGATTGCAAACTCATAAACAATTGAGATTCATTTGGTTTTGTATTTTAGAGTGACCAACAAAAGCTCAATAAAAAAAAATAATTAAAAATTAAATAAGATAAGAGGATATTTTTGTACAATAGGAGACTGAGCAATAAGTAGTGTATTTTGTTGGATAGTCTTTATCCTGTGTTGTAATTAAACATTTATTTAGTATAATTAATCAAAATGATTTGTCCATTTTGGTTAATTATCAAAATAAGTAGCCTTTTTTACATTTTAGAAGAAAAAAATAAGACCTTTTCAATCAGTGGCGTAACTACCCTTATGTCAGGGTGTCTAATTGAAGACTATTCGTCGGAAAATTATACCGTATATACAAGTAAAATGATAAATAAAATGGTTTAAATAACATATTTTGGACACCATTGACACAACAATATGATGTAACCTAGTGATTTCAGGCACGACACACAAACTTAAAGTGTTCGAGTATTCAAATCTCACTAGTAGCAAAAAAAAATCACTTATTAAGAAGAGCAGATTCGCTTTAGCTCTTAGACACCCTTCATGAATTTTCTGACTCCGCCACTATTTTCAACTTTGGACTCTGGACTCTAAAAAAATAGAAGGAATTATCAAACAGACTAGCATACATGTGGGGGAGATTTCAAGAAAGAGTAATGTCATGATTCAAAATCTCTTAAGCTATAATAGAACCTACATCCAGTCCATAGGTGACATAATTCAATTTTTAATTTCAATCCCATAAATTACACGCATGAAATAAATCATACTTAAAAAAAACAATTACAAGTTATAAAGGCGTCTCAAGTCATAAATATGAAAATTATATGTACAACTCCAAAATTTGGTGGTACAAGGATAAAAGTGACTAAGAGTAAATGATACAAATTTTAAATACTCATTATATATAATATTTTGAAATAAGAAAAGACAAAATAAATAAACCAGGAGTCTGACATTATGGATCAACCAAACAACTCATGTGACGTGAAGATTGAGATAGTTTAAACATGTGACGTGAAGATTTTTTTTTTTTAATAAGTCCCACGAGGGTAGTAAATTGATAAGTCAAAAGGCGATCGAGAGGGGGGGGGGGGAGTGGAGCCTAACCTCTGCATACAAATAAGTTCACAATTTGACCTAAGCCATATACAAGATGGAGATAAAACTCCTAAGCATTAGCTAAACATGTCATCCTCTATACAGTTAACTCTATAAATGAAATTTATCATGTTAATGTTACGAGGAAGGGACTTAATTAGCAGAGTATTCATGTCACATTTTAAAGTCAAATCGTTACTAACAGTAACATATATTTTATAGAACACACGAGTAGTGTCATTACTATACATTCATACTACTAAAAATTTCAAATATATATATATACATACATTATCTTTGTTAATTAATGTATAAGCGATGATGGCTAATAGAAAATCAGTCAGCTCCAAAATTATAAAGTAATTAATACGTTAAGTTGCAATTAATTTAAACTAAATATTGTAGATTACATCTCAAGAGCGAGGGGGCATATATACTTTATGCTTTTATTATATTATTACTACTACATATATAACATAGTATATAACAAAGGAGTTTTAGATATTACTATCATGTTTGAGTTTTAATGAGCACTTCTGTTTTTTTTTTTTTGCTCTTCCAAGGTATGACATTCTTGAAACCCTTGTACATGGAGGCCTGTATATTTTGAAACATGAATCAATTTTAAAGAACCACCAAAAAGGAAATGGAAAAAAAAAAAAAAAATTAGAAAGTATGAATAGGTACGAAATATGTCAGTAATCCCTAACTAATTCAAAGTATCTAAATTTTTTTAATAATCTATTGCTAATTTATAACTAAATACAATTAGCATAAGATATTTGTTGTTTAGCTATAAAATCTTGTCCGTCGCTACCGTCTAAAGTTAAAGATCAGTGAATAAGATTGAATTAACAAACCGACAACTGCTAGTAGTTGTGGACAGTGGCGTTAGGAGGGTATTTTGGTAAGTTAAGCAGCAAACAAATTTATAATTAATATTTTATCTTATTTAATTGTCTGATAAACAACAAAAACATTTAATTATTAAAAATTTAAATCTAAATTTCTAAGTTGGTTCATTTTTTATTTAACTGTACTACTATCTTGTCATTAATATATATTTTATAATCCCAATATATATTTTCTAAAAAAAACCCCAACTCAATTTTATTCTATTTCACTCGTGTCATACTTCTAAAGATTTTCTCTACTTAAAATTTTTTGTAACAAACTTCAACGGTGTTTAGTCAAGAACATTGAAAAAATTGTGGTCAAACACTAATTTAAAGTGTTTTAGACCACATATTTTAATATATTACTAATTTTTTTTAAAAAACATGAACTTTAATTTGACTTTAACGGATAGTTATGTCCTCTAATTTTGAATGTGCACATAAATATCTAAATTTGTATAAAATTAAACTAGTAGACATGTGTACTACATGGCATAATACACGTAAGACACAAAATTATCATGTAGCATGAATATGTCTATTTATTCAATTTTATACAAATTTAAATATCTGTTTATGCACACACAATGTTAAAGGTTATAATTGTTAGTTAACGCAAGTTAAGTATCATGTTTATATATTATACCTGACTTAAAAGTTACTCCTTAACATTTTCAAATACTTAAAAAAACTCATTCTAAGAGACGGAAATGTAAATAAAAAGCATACTCTAAAACTTACCCAAATGTGAGAGTGAGAGAGGCCGGAGAAGTAACCATTTCTTTCAAGTCCAGTGCCAGTTCCACAATCTGATGATGAAGATGAAATGACCAAATTACCCCCACCGACACCAATTTCCTTCTTAATACGTCGTTTGGCAAACCATTGTTGCCACCAATAAGAACCTCTTCTACGCACATTATTATTAGTACTATTATCATCATTCTTATAAAGAACTAGAGCACCAAGTTGCCCTCTCTCAAGGACATTATTTATTTTAGGGGAGGAGGGTATTTTGGTCATTTTATCCAAGTAGTAAAACCTAGGAGGTGGCTCTAAGAATTTAGGTTGATCATTAAAAATGGTAGAAATAATAATGTCAGTACAATAAGGTCTAGGTTTACCAGGATGTAATTCCCACTTAAAAGGAACAGAAGCTAAACAAGTGTGAATTGGTGGAGTTAATACACCTGATGAATATTGTTGAGGTGAATATTTCAATTTCATGGATTTTGGTGTTAAAAATAGAGGAAGTTTTGTGGTGGAATTACTTTGATCTATAGACATAATTGGATGGTGTTTTATTTTGTACTAATATTTCTTCTACATATAAAAGAAGAAAATGAAGGACAACTTTATTTTTTATGGTTACTATTGATGGTTTTGTTCACGGGGGGAAAAGGACACACCTTTACATAACTTTACGCAGAGAAAATAATGAAGTCTTTGAAGGCAATGATACCAGTGTTTTAAATGGCGGGGATGATCACGACTCACGAGGCGATGTGAAATGGAGCTAAGTGTGTAGAGGCGTAAGTTCATTGATCTATGAAATATATATTTTATGTATTTTTAATTTTATAATTTTACTTAAAATAAATAATTTTTTCATAAATTAATTGTCAAAAATATTATAATTATTATTTGAGAAAGTTAATTATATAAAAAATGATAAAATAGTCAATATATTCTTTAAAATAAAATCACCATCCATCTTCATATCTATGGAGTATTATTTCTTTTCACCCTCGACTAATACTTGCGCTGATTATTGTTTATATATTTGAAAGAAAAAAACTAAGAGAAAGTGTCAGAGCAATAACAAAAAATAGATAAAGTTGCTTTAAAAACTTAGTATTGTAGAATCTCTGTTCTATCAATTTGAAGCATAATCATCTAAAAAAATACTTACGGCACTGTCATTTTCTATGAGAGCTTCTTTATTTATTTATATATTTTAGGAAAAATCACTACAACACGATAGCAAAAAGTATAATTATCATTGCACAAATAATAAAAAACTTGATTTATAACAAAAATACTTTTAAACAATAAAAATAAAATTTTAAGCTCGCGGTGTACACTTTTAAGCCCTTGATGCCCCAAATTATAGGGCTTATTCCTTGTGGATCTACGCCTTTCATTTGTGCCTCGGAGCGGATTTGGTATGTCCACCCCAAAATTCGTCTCAAAAAGGTCTTTGAAAACACTCATGACTAGTTCTCTCATGCCTTAAAATATATGATGATATTTATCTTGTTAAGAAATTTTCAAAATAAAGGTTTTTTAAAAAAAGTTTACAGTCTTAAATAAGTTATAGATATTTTTTGATAGTATGTACATAGATACTTTTTGATAGCATGTACGCAAACCTTCATTACCGTTGTGGAGGTGAAAAGGTTGGATCCAAAGACTCTTGGCTCAAAAGAAGTCTTATCAAAGCATGATCGAAAGAAAAATAACAAAAATAAAATAGCAAGATATACGCATAAGTCATAACAAAATGAAGCAACAAGTAGTAGTGAAAATTAAAGAATAAGACACTACATGACTAATAACTAATACAACTAGATTAGGAGAAAGTGAGAAGAGGAGACTCACCTCATATCTCTCCCACATAAAAGTATGACAACACTCGGCTACATACTATTTTTATACCTTAATTATCGACCTTCATTCCAGTCTTTCTATAAAGGATCATGTCTTCAGTAAGCTAGTTGAGATGTGTCATGTCATGTCTAATCACCTTCCATCGTTCTTCTTTGGTGTATATATATCTAGCTCTTTCAAAATCTGTAGCTAATATATTACACATCTTTACTTGGTGCGTCTATGCACCTCCTCTTTATATGCCCCAACCATTGCAATCTCATTTTATGCGCCATGAAGCCCACTCATATACGTACATTGTCCTATATAACTTTGTTCTTAATCTTGTCGCTCTTAATATGTCTATGCATCCATTTAATTTGGTCATCCTCATTTATCTTACCGTCACCGTCAATGTAGGTCTAACCATCACTATGCATAACTTATCCTTAAGCCTTGGTGACATGTTCTTATCACTCAGTACCTCAGATATGAGCCTCTATTTGACTCACTATGCTCCAATAATGTATGTTACATCCTTATTATTTCCCTGTTTCTTTGAATAATAGAACCAATGTACTTAAAATCTCTTCTCTTGAATATGGCTTGTGTATCGTCTTCACTTCCACCTTCGATTCATTTGTTGTGTCGTAGGACTTGCACTTCAGGTACTATATTTTAGTCCCGCTTAATATAAAATCTTTTGATTATAGGGTTTGTCTCCAAATTTTCAACTTATTATTAATTATAGTGTGTCTCATTGATGCATATTGTGTCATCTACGGATTGTATATACCACGACACCTTCCTTTAATTTGAATATGTCGCCTCAGTTCATCTATCACTAAGGCAAAATAAATGGGTTAAAGATTGATATCCTAATGCAACCTTACCATGATTGGAAAGTATTGAGTCGCCTCCCACTATCCTTATTACTTGGGTCTTGGGTCCATTTTACGTGTACTAATGTAAGTTACAAGTACGCTTTTAGACTCCAAATATCTCTATAAAACCTCCTTAAGAACTCTATCATATGCATTTTCGAGGTTAATGATATCATGTGTAAGTATCTCTTTATATCTCTATATTATTCCATCATTCTTCTTTACAAGATGAATGACTTTTCTAGTCGATCGCCTCAACATGAATTTGAATTTGTTCTTGGGATAGACATAACCCTCTTAACCCTTATTTTGACTATCATTTCCTGAACTTTTATATTGTGCTTAGTAGCTTGATACCATAACTATGAAGGTTTTGAATATCACCCTCATTCAAAAGGTTATGTAAATACATTTTTCATCTCTTTCTTATGTGTCTCTACTACCAATATTCCCTCATCATCGTCCTTAGTACACTTTCCTTCGGTAAATTATATTAAATATAGAAAATATTACTATTAATTTAGAACTCATTGAAAAATAATTTCATGTAAATTAAGATGACAAGTAATAACTTGTTTCGTCAAGTTTGTGAAGTCAAAACTGTTTTTTCTTAAAAAAATAATGAAGTGCTTATTTTATATTTAGCTATTTGCTCAAACTTTTAGGAAAAAAAGTACTAGTGATTTAAATTGTAGCAAAATATGTTTTTAAGAAGCTAAAAAATATATTTTCAAAAGCATTTTTGAAATTTTAGCAAACACAACCTATTGCTCTATATTGATAAAATTAATTTTTGAATTATCTAATTAAACACAAATAATTATATTCCAAAAGTACTTTTTATTAACCACTTTTAATAGAAAACTACTTTTAAAACTAAATAAGTATATTTTGTAAGGTCGGTCAAAGATACTATTAAAACATAAATATTGTAATTAATTATGGGAATCTGATTTTTGACTCTCTATAATAAGATGGCATGATGCTTGATGATGATAATTTTATTTTTATTTTCTCTTAATATAGTGTGGAAGGAATTGATGGAAAAAAAATATATCTCACTAACATGTTGTTAAGTATAATTATGGTTTGGCCAACCGACAACAAGCAAATCTAGTGTTTTTTTAATTAGTGAATGATTGCATTTTTGTATGAATGAGATCTTGCTTAAATATCTGACTGCACAAATATCATTAAAATATCATCTGGTAAAACATACACTAACTAATCCATATGATCAAACAAAATCTTAGATTTATTGTGTAAAATATTTATTAATTGGACTACAATATATTTGAAATATAATATTTGGAAATCGTGTCAAGTCAAAAATAAGTTTGATGATATTTCAAAATATAAATATAACTCCGAACTATTGAAAATAGTAAAGGGATGAGTTTTTTTAGTTTTAACTAAAATATTTGATAGATGCACATGATTATGACACGTGTCCATTTGTTAGTGTGAAGGATATAAATGCTCCACTTTTTGGACGGCAAGAACTATGGTATCTCAATAGTATAACGAAGAGTATTAATATATCATTTCAATAATTTGGGGATATATTTAACCCATTCACGTCCAAATACTATAATATAAGCAAAATAAAATAACAATAATAATCGTTTAGTCAATATAATTTCAGAAGTTAAATTTGTGGAAAATGGTGAAAAGGCAGATCCTTACACTTAAAACTATTTTTAATAGCGAGACATATTGAAAACACCTTTGAACTTAACGTAAGTTATTAGTTTCGTTCTCGAACTATATATTGACAGTTTTAACAATACTCTTCTACTTGACTAACTGAATTTAGATACACCCTTGATCTACTACATGTCATAACTAGTGGTCTCAAACTATTTTCTGAGCATGAAATTTTAATAAAAAGTCGAGAGAGGCATTGAAAACACTCCTAAACTTTACTAAAATTTAGAGATATATTTCACTCATATTGTAAACGGAAAAGGGCCAAAAATACCCCTGAAGTACAGGAAAAGGTCTAAAAATACCCTCCATCCATCTTTTGGTTTAAAAATACCCTTCTACTCATTTTTTGGTCTAAAATTACCCTTTCATCCACCTTTTGGCTCACTTGTACCCTAAAGATGAATAGAAGGGTATTTTTAGACCAATAGATGAATAGAGGGTATTTTTAGACCTTTTCTTGTATTTCAGGAGTATTTTTGGCCCTTTTCCGTATTGTAAATTTGAGGTTGTATTTAAGTTCAATTGGTCAAATTAATAAGTATTTTTAAGACTGTCAAAAATTTAGAAATAAAATTAATAATTCACATCAATTCTACAAATATTTCTTTTTAATATATAGGCATTCGGTTCAAGTAAAATATTTTAATTTTTTATTTAATTTCTTGTTTGTTTGATTATGGATTGCCTTGGATTCTATTTGCATAATGGAAATGGCATCTCTTTTCAGTGTAGGATTGGACAAGTTAGCTTGGATTTTTTTTCACCTACTCTACAAAAAGTGATGGGGCGTCCACCAACCATACGTCAACAACTTTGTCCATTCTTTGTACACACTACTATCACAATCTATCAAAAGATTTGTTCTTTAGTCTCGTTTAACATATTCTTATGTTTTCATTTTAATTTATTTGTCTTGTTTTTTGTTTTTTTATAAAATAAAATAAATATTTTTTGATATAATACATAAATATATTCTTTAATTTCATTTCATTTAACATCTCTATATTCTAACTTGGGAGTCGAGTGATTGGGTTGGAAGTCAGGTCGTGATTAGAGCTTAGGAGTTAGGTCCCAACTTGAAATTGAGATTCGAGGTCCAGATTAGAT